TTATTTCCACATCTTTCTTGTAATATTTTTATTCGTTCTTTTTCAGTTTCTCCTAATTTTTTTGAAGAAAAAAATTCAGGGTCATATCCGATTGTTTCTTTTTCATTTACTTGTTCTATATTTCCAATATATTCACCTTGTTTTATTTGAATATTTTTATCACTAATATTCAGTGCTAAAATGTAGTCTCTATTGGGTCGTCCTTGTTGTATAGCTAACCCTTTGGCTGCTAATTGTATAGAGGTCCCTACTATTCTATTTTCTTGAGGGTTTAATATTTTAATACTCATCAGTGTTATAGGGGGTATGACTGTTTCTTTTTTACTGAATATCTTTTCTTTCTCAGTTTTAATAATAGTGGGTACTATTTTTCTTTTTTGTCGTATAGTTAGGTTATTTAATAAAATATAATTATATTCTTCATCATCATTTATTCCATATCCTTTTTTGTTTTCTTTAAGTTGATTTTCAACTTCTTGTCCAAATCTTTCATTATAATGTTCTTCTAGTCTGCTTCTAATTCTGCTTCTAATTCATCTAACTCTTCTTCTTTGAAGTCTTCTAATTCTTGATATACTGTTTCAGGTACATATGTAGTATATGTTTGTTCTCTAAAGGTACCATGTACTGTTCTGTATGTTGAGGATTGTCCTTTATTATGTACATTATCATAATATGGTATTTCTATTTCTTCATTAGAAATTTGGTCTGTATGTTTTGAGCTAAGACTTGGGCTTTTATATCTTTGTTGTTTTCTTTCATAAGAGTCTGGTGATGGTGTATAACCTCTTTCATTTCTTTTTCGGTCAGGTGCATCGGCACTAATTTCAATAGTAGGTGTTCTACTTAAAGTATGTTGACTTAATGGTAAAGGTGTTGTTGGTCTAGATGTGAATTTATTTTTAATTCCTTGTTCTACGTCTTCGAAGAACTTTGTTACTTTTGGTAATACTCCTTGAGGGATATCTTCATTCTTTATAGAGGCTTGTGATAGCCTTTCATTTAAGAATACGTTGTCTGTGGGTGAATGTAGTATTCTTATTCCAATTTGTTTATTTTCTCTAACAAATTTTTTATCTCTAGGTACATCATATTGTTCATATGGTTTGTAGGTACTTCTTCCTTTTGGATCGGGTAGTAACATTTGTGGTTTTTCCTTTTTCCTTGCCTTGATGACATCTCCGTAAATTTTTTCTTGAATTTCTTTGTCATCATGCATTTCTCCCACTTTTTCTAATTGAGATTCTAAGAATTCTTTGTGTTTTTCATATAATGCTTGTTTTGTAGGTTTATCTTTACAGCGTGCTTGTGTTGTTATTAATGCAGCTACTGCTGCTTATTGTTCAATGAGTCCCATATCATTGAATTCTTCAGCGGTTATATCTAGTATTTCATGAATATTTTTATTATATTCTTCTTGAAGATCTTTTATATCTTCTCGATGTTTACATATTGTTGCATCATTTGTTTTATTTAATGTTGATAGTATTTAATATAAGTATTCTCTTCTTGTTTCTACAGGTTTGTCAGTATCTTTAATTTTTGTTACTTTTTGTATTGATTCAAGATATTCTTCTATTTCTTTTTTAGTTAAGACTTGAGTGTAACTGTATATTTTATTTATTTGCTCTAATCTCCAATTGAGATCTTGAATTGTTTGTTCAATTTTTGTGTCTTTGGCTATTTCTCCATCAAGTATAGCTTTATCTAATTTATTTAACTTTTGTTTAATGATTTGACCCATTTTTCGTAGTTGATCTTTAGGAAGTTCATCTTCCTTCTTTTTTCCTTTCTTTGAAGGTAGTACTTTGTTTAAGGTTTCTTCTACTTCCCTATATATTTGATTTAAGTGTTTATTATTCAAATTTTCTGTCCTTTATTAGCAGGTTGTTTATTATTTGCTATAAAGGTTGTTCTTGCTAATCTATCTGCTAAGTCAGATACGTCTGGGTCCTCAAATTGAAATCCTAAGGGTATGTATATCCCTGATCCTTGAGATCACTTTGTTCTTCATCCTTTTCTTTAGTCCACTCTTGAATATTACAATTTTTTTCTGTTATAACATCATTTGCATATTCTTGTAATTTTATTACTTCATATATTTGTGCAATTTGATCTGATAATTCTATGTTTGGTGTTTCTGGTACCATAGCACAGATCTCGTTGTGCTTTGCTATCATCTGAAATACATCTTGTGTAATCATTGCGTTTGGATCTAATATGTGTATATGCTTGTCCATTCCTATTCCAAATATCGCTTCTCGGGGATTGTTGTTTATGTGTACTAATTGTATTTCTTTTCCATACATGTAAAGTACATTTTTGTATTCATTTATATGTTTTCCATTTCCTGCTGCATAGAAGTGTTGTGTATTGAAGCACATTGCTATTCTTCTTTTTTCTTTATTTTTATCTTTATACTGTAATCTTTGATTTATACTATTTAGGATATCCATAAGGTCAGCCATTGTTGATCTATAGCATTTGGTACTTGTGCTATTTTCCAATAATAGTCCAATTCTTAGATTGTTTTCAACTATTTTCCTTAATATATAATTGATATTTTATATTATATCTTCTCGATCACAATCAGTTTTTGTTCCTAGGTGTAGTACACTTTATCATATATTCATTTTATTAGCGCATTTTAATTCTTGAATTATCCTTATTATTTTCCAGTTTACCTATTTATTTCCATTATAATATATAAATAGCTTGTCATTTACATATAATCTCATGTTGTGGTATAAAACCATTTTTAAATTAATGTTTTTATTTTCTTTTATTATGTTCATATCTTCCTGTTTATCAGATGTTCCTTCTTTTACTGAATCCAAATATTTTAAGAATATTTGTACTATATTAGATTGGGTTATGATAGTAGTTTTTACTATCTTATTCCACAAGCGACGGTTGTTACTCCAATTAATTTGACTCTATTTTTGTTTTCTTTAACAAGCTTTCTAAGCTTTTTAACTTGTTTAGGGAATAACTCTGGTAAGAGTTGTATTATAAATCTCTTAAATTTCCTTGGGTTATATTGTTTATCTACCCATTTCTCAGTTGACCCATTTTGTTTTATATTTTCTTTTAAAAACTCTTGTTTAGATTTTCTTTCTAAGGGCGGTTTTGCTTTCTTCTTCTTTAAGGTGTTGTTATTGCCTTTTTGTATTGGACTTAAAATGGTTTTATTTTTAGATTGTGGGGTAACATTGTTAGTTATTATGTTAGGCTCAATGGCTTTTTCCAATATCATATTGTTATTGAAGTGTAATTGGTTGTTAAAGGTTCGACTTGTTTTGTTTAGGGTATAAGTGGTAAGTTTATTTTTTACCATGTTGGGTGCCACAAATTTATGAGTGGCGGCCAACTCTTTCTCAAATTTAGTGGTAGGTTTGTTTGTGAAATACTTTTTTGTATCCATGTTGGGCGCCAATGGCAGGTTTTTTTTACTTTTGCCTAGGTCACTAGTTTTTCGAGCAAGGTAATTAGCTGCATGTGATTTGCTCTTTGTTAAATGTATTTTCGGCTGATTTGCAGTATCAAGTTGGGTAATTTTATCAGAATTTGTGTGCTGACTATGAGATCTCTCCTTTTTTATTGTAAGGTTCAAGGTGCGATCCAGATTCCTGTCATAAAACTGGTGTGATAGGTTCACTTTTTGCATGTCCGTTGTTATGTCTTGGTATGATATCAGTATGTCTCTGATTGTTATAATTTGAGTTTCTCTATTTTTCTTTATTCTCATTCATGCTTGATCTACTTCTGCTAAGAGTATACATACTTGTTCTCCTTCTATTACTGATACTTTGATGTAAAATATTAGGTCTTCTATTTGGAGTTTAACTCTTACTTTACCATAGTTTGTTACATTCATTCCTCCTGGAACTCTTGCAGTTCTAGTTTGTTCTTTAAGTTTGTCTAATAAGTTCTATTCTTTTGCTACATTATAGGGTATTACACTTGCACTTGCTCCTTCATCTATAAGTACTTTAATTGGTTTGTTGTTCATTAATGCTATAAATTCATATTATTTTTTGCCTTTAGGAAATTCTTGAGCTTTATGCGCTTCTTTTGGAAAGTAGTATTGTTTTAATAAATAAAAGTATTCTGGGTATTCTTGAGCTTGTTGGTACATTTCACTTGATAATAGTTTGGCAGAATATTTGTTATATTGATCGTTTTGCGATTTTTTATTTATTTCATTATTAATACATTGTATATTGTGTATACTTTCTTTAAATGTTATAGTATTATAATATTCTTTAGTACTAAGTAGTTTGCTACTTTGGCCTATTTTCTTTGGGATTTTGTCCTGAGTACTACACAGGTTCCCTAGTTGAAATATCGTATTTTGTCAAGGTTTTCCTTAACTTTGGTATTATGAACTGTTTCTTCATCACTGTTATACTCTTCATTTTCTTCATTATAATGGTTTACTTCTCTTTTGTCATTTCTTTTGTATGAGCTTCTTTTTTTAGATTTGTAATCATTTCTTTCTTTTCTTTCAAAGTTGTATACTTTTTTTGGTTGTTTTTCTTCTTTGTAGTTGTTAACTCTTCTTCTTGTGAAAGATTTTCTTGTATTGTTTTGTGGTCTTCTTCCACTATTGTTTCTATTGTTATTATTGTATCGAAGTCTTCCTTTTTCTCTATTGTTCTTGAAGTTGTTATATTTATGAATCATAGGTGTTGGTCCTCTTGCTCTTTTTCCTTCATAATAATTGGCATTATTGTTTGGACATGTTTTGGTGTGATATCTATTATCTTTTCCGCAATATAAACAATATTTTCTGACAAAGGTTTTCTTTTGTCTTCCATTATAGTTTTTGTAAGTTGATTGTACTCTGTTATATGCTTCTTTTCCTTTTCGTTTTAGGCATTCTCTTGCAAAGTGTCCTGTTTGTCCACATAAGTAGCATTTTCCTTTTTGAGGTTGTTCTGTTTGTACATTATTTATTTTTTGGGTTCTTTGGGAATAGTGATTTGTTTTTTCACTTTTGGATTTTTCCATTATATCCATTGTTACTCTTGTTGCTCTAAATAGAGTATTAGCTCTTCTGAAGAAATCTTCTTCATTATTTGGTACTGGGTTTGTTAATATAATTTGTTGAGCTATGTTTTTAGACATTCTTTCTACTAAATACATGTAGTTTCCTCCAAAGAAGTTTGCAGCCTATTGCCAATTTGATAATTGTTTGAGTTTTTTATACTGATTGATTTGTTTTCTTAATTCTGAGTCATCACTCCAGTCTAAATTCTTGTAGAAGTTAAATTTAAGAAATTCTTTTTGGTTTAATGATTGTACTGAGTCTCTTGTGAAGTTTTCGTCAAATATGTTTCTAAATCCTTTTTGTGTTGTCGCATTTGTAACATTTGGGTTTATTCTTGTTCCTTCTGCTGTTGCAGAAGCATGCTAGTTTCCTGCTGCTTGTAAATAATTTATTGCTTTTATTAGATAATTTTTTGCATCTTTTAAATCATTTGTGTTATCTAAGTTGAATCTAAAATAACAGTTTATAGTTGTTATTTCTGCGTCGAATACTTCTAATGCATCCTTTCTTATTTTTTTTCTAATTATTGCAAATAATGTTTGTATTATTTCTGTACTCCATCTGCATTCATGTGCATCTGCTCCTGTTAAATCATAGTTTCTTCCTCTTAATATATATCCTTTTTTAGGTGTTCAGAAATATCTTCCAAATATAATTAAGTCTCCTAATCTTAATGCTTTGAATGTATTTTTTAACTGATTTCTCCAATCTCTATATTTTTCAATTGATCCATCATATTCTGATATTAAGGATGTTAATCTTTCTAAATTTTTTGGTAGTTCAAATTCTGTTGCTGCCATTATTCAGGTAATATAGTTGATAGTTGTCCTTGATAGGTACACTGAGTATGTTTAAACCAATTTTTAACATTAAATGATTTTCTTGAAATAGTTTCTAAACTTGTTTTGACTTTTAGTCTGTCTGCTACTACTAATGAGTATACCAAGTATACTGTTATTTCTTCATCAGTTAGGTTTTCTGCGTTTTCTTCTTCTTCTTCAATATAATTGAAGACTTGTTTTCTATACTCTTGTTTCTTATGATTGTAGACTCATTTTTCTTCTTGTATAGGAATTCTTTTGGTTACCAAGTTTCTGTTTAAATATTCTTCAATTTTTTTGATCAAATTCTTTAAGTTTTTCTTGTATTTTTATTTTATGTTCGTCTGATGGTGGGTTTGGATATTTATTAAAGTATTCCTGGAAAACTCTTATATATATTTTATTTCCAATTTCTCCGTAGCTTATTAATTATTTTTTAGATAAGTATGGTGCTTTATCTAATATTTTTCTATGAAATCTTGCGGTTCGTTGTATTGTTTTGCTTTAGTTGCTAAATATGGTATCTTATTTATAGGTAAGATTTGTTGGTTGAATTTCTTTTTGAATTCTAGGTATACTGTTAGCTTTAGGCTTTGTTTAAGTACTGGTGATACTTCTGTTTTTATTTTAATTTGTTTTGGAATTTCTTTTTCTTTCTTAATTACTTTTGTTTTTTTTTCCAATGCTTTGGTTACTATCCCTTTATAATTTGTTGTTTTTACTATAAGTTTTTTGAGTTTTTCAATATTATCTAGGCAATTCATTCAATTTCTTCTGATGATTTATCAATGCAGTTACTTCTTTTGCTCGTATAATAGTGTTTGCTATTATGGATATAGTTGTTACTATTGCTATTGATATTATAGTAAGTTGTATAGTTTGGTTAAGATATATAAATAGTTTTTCTGATGCTGCTAATACTATAATGATGTTGTGCATCCAAGTTATTGATACATTTAATGTTGATACTGTATGATCACTAGTCATGATTGTTAAAGTATTTTCTTGTTGATTATCCACTTTGATCTTGTAATGCGTGAACGTTATTTACTATTCTTTGATTTTCAAAGTCTTGTTTAAGAACTTTTAGTTCGTTCTGATGGCTTCTGTTTCTACAGATTAGTATAGCTGTGGTTATTGCTACTACTATTATAAATATTACTTCTTCTATAAATGTGTCAATTACGTTTGTATCTTGTAGGTATCCTGGTGTTTGTGTTTGGATTATAGATAGTGTTGATGTTGGTGTAAATGTTGCAGTTATGGTACTGATTATTGTGCTAAGTACAATCAAGCGTGTAATTGATATTTGTATTATTGACATGTATCAGTATCTTGTTCCAAATGTTTGGTTAATATTTGATATATTTGGTATAATTCTTTGTGTTACTTCCTTTTGGGTATACTGAGGTAAGTTTTGGTTACTTGCCTGCTGTTTTTTTTTCTTAAGCTGTTTAAGCTTTGCAATTATAAATATTAATGCTGTTGCTTCTAGTATAACTAGTATTGTAGTTATTCCACTGAATATTTCTAAGAGTATATTTTGATTATTGTTATCGTTGTTTGACATTAAATTGTGAAATATTTGGAGGTTATTTCTTTTTGAGAAGTTGTAATCCTTTAGGTTTCTTTGGTATTACAGATAGTCTCCTTGGGGCTGTGTTATATGGTATAGGTCTAGATATTATTCCAAAATGTTGGTTCAACTGTTGTTGTATTTGGTTATCAAATTGTATTTGTTGTAAAGGTCTTGGTATGACTAGCCTTTGGTGTTGCACGTATGGTATTATTGGTTGTTGGTTGAGTACTTGTAGTACTCTTGGTATTCCTTGATAATAGTCAAAGGGTGCAATTGGTCTTTGATAGTTATTGTTTGATGTATAAAGTTAGATTATTTAATTATTTATTTATTTTGTTTAACAACAGATTAATGTATCAGATTGTTCAAGGAATTGATTTGCTCCAAGATGGTCTTGTTCATTCACTTTTTATAGCGTTGGTGTTTATAGCAACAATATAAGATTGTTATTAATATTATTGTTATCAACGATTCAATGATTATACCATAAAGTAATTGTGTTGCAATTGGATTGTTGTCAATAGTTGTACACGTATTGTTGAATGTTATTTGTGTTTGGTTATTAGTCATCTATTTCTTTCCAGGATTAGTAATGTTTGATACAGTCTATGATTGTGGATTATGGTTATTAGTCATCTATTTCTTTCCAGGATTAGTAATGTTTGATACAGTCTATGATTGTGGATTATGGCTAATGTTATTGTTGTTATCAATATTGTTAATAATAGTATTGTTGTACTAAGTATCAATATAATATCTGAGATGTTTGTGATCATGAGTTGTTTTGTGTATATGAGCTATTAATAGTTGGTTCTTTTTTTGATTGTAGTGTATGTTATTAGTGCTATTCCAGATATACACATTGTTATTAATATAGTAAAGGATATTGTGATTTGTGTTTCTTCAGATGTTTTGATTACTAAGATTGTTAATCCTATTGTGAGTATAAGAGTTATTGTAAATATAATTATTCCTTGTTTAGTAAGCATCTATTGTAAGTATCGTATTGCCTATTTTGGTATTTAGTTATTTGGTGTATAAGAATTTTTATTTTTGATCAAGCAGTTTTATTTATATTTTCTATGAGCTATTTTTACACATATAGGTTTGTTTGTTGATATCCAGGGGGTTGTGTAATTTAATTATTCAGATGATTTACTTGTTGAGTCTTTTTGGCTAATCTTCATTTACAGGTGCAGACAATTGCGGTTATTGTGCTTAAGGCAGTTAGAATTGTGATTATTAATGCAATTAGTGTATTTACGGCTTCTGTGTCCGTGTAATAATTTGTGTTGGGCTGAGTAGTGATTGTTGCAGAGTTTGTTACAGTTATTGTTGAGGGCATTGCAGTGGGCATTACTGTTACTACAGGTATTGTTACGTTGATTACTTGTGCTTTAAGGATTTGTATAAGAATTATTAATAGTAAAATGGTCGTTTGAAGTATTGTTGTTTTCATTGAGTTTTGTTTATACTTTGTAATCTTGATTTGTAATTATTTATTGTTGTTATCGCTAGCGTCAGTAGTTTAGGATTGCAGTGTCTGGTGGTTACAATGCAGTTGTCTTTTAGGGTAGCTATTTCTATAGTTTCAACTAGTAAGGTAATTTTCTTATGTTTCACTTTGTCATCAGATTTGATTATTCGTATCTATCCGGTAGATTCGAGGTTATCTTTACTACAGTGTTATCTGTTCAGGTTTAACAAGAGTTGTTTAAGCTCTGTCTGATCTATACGTTTCGCTTTTGTCCTAATAGTATAGTATAGTTTAATTAGTATGTTAGTACTTTGTATTTTATCTTTGATTTTTCTTTGCCAATGGCAGGTATTTAGCATGTAAGCTTTTCCTTTTTAGTTGGGCGCTATAGTAAGGTACAATTTATTTCTGGGTTTTAACGGTAGATATTTATTTTTCCAATTGGTCGTTATTAGTTGCTAATTTCTAACACTTTCTAGTGTTCATTAGGCGTCTTGGTTATTTCCTTTTTATTACGGATTTATTATGTTGTATAGCAAGTGGAATGGTATTTTTTCTCTATGTCGTAGGTTGGCTAAGTCTACTTTAGTTTACAGAGTTGGATAAGTTCTCTGAGGTATTACTTGTTATATCTATTGCCGTCTTGCAGGCTCAATATATTATGCAGTCTTTTAGTTTTATTCATTATAGGATTTATCTTTAATATATAGAGTTTATTTATATCGAATGAATTTATATTATAGAAGGATTATTATATTGCATGATTATTTCTTTTAAACTTTAAAGGTCAGTTTATTGTTTATTTAATAAATGTTTTGACTATTACATGAAGGTGTTTAAATAATGTTTACCAATTATAAGGGTAATGTTTTATAAGTGTGTTGGGTGCCTTCATTAAGTATTGTTATACTTTGGGTTGCCATGATTGTTCTTTAATATATGTTAATATGTTGGTCTTCAACAACTATTATTATGGTTAAATGGTCACGTTGGGCTCATTGTTGTGTTGTTTGACACTTGGGCCGCCAACAGTTAACATTGTTGTTTAATATGTTGGGCGCTAAAGGTATTTATAATATGTGTTGCACTTTTGATTGTTCTTTTATGCCTTGGGTATATTGTGTTGGTTGCCAACAGTGTTTAATATTATAATAATATATAACAAGAATAATATGCTTGGCATGGTCTCAAATGTGTTTC